TGGAGAGACTACAATTATTTCAGAGATTGTTTCCATTTCTCAAGAGACAGAAAAAAAAATACGCTAGATTTTGGAAAAAGAAAATCTTAAGAGTAAAATTAGGCAGTGTAGTATAAATTATTGAAGTTTCTGTGTCAGTCCAGTGTGGACTTGTCTTAACATCTGTTTTACCACCTGACAGATGGGGAAAGTCTGTTGTTTTGCCTCTCACTTAGTAGAGCTCAAGGTATTCAGTATAAAGCTATTTTTACATTGTAACAGGTAGAGACCAGGCAATTTTAGGGGTCACCCTCAGAGGGAAAGGACAAAGAAGAGAATGTTTTACATGAATGTTTTGTCACCAAAATGTGGCACTGTTTGAGTATGTAACTTTCTGGAAATGGGAGAGGTGTGTGCTGGCAGCATCTCTCGAGACTACTTGTTGAGTATGTTGCTCTATAATTGTGCTTCATTTCTTCTAAAGGAGTCTGGATGGGGAAGAGATAGGATAAGACTACTTGAAGAAATTTAATGAGTGTGGAAGAGAGTAAATTTTTTCTCAACCATTATATATCATGAAGGTACAGTGGAGAACAGTTGATTTTTATTTATCTTTGCCGTATAGTGGTTTAGGTGATTATATGCTACCAATTTTTTTTTTAGAGAAGAAAAGAAGATGCTGAAAGACAAAAAAGTTAGTGAAATATGTTTCAGAAATTCTCATCTGACTTTTGAAATCAGGAACTCAACAAAAATTAGGTCCCTTATTAGTATTTTGTACCATTTTGATTGGCTACATTGTGCTCTAGCAAAGCCTACAGATGTACCATAATTCACCTAACCTCAGTATTACATATAGTTTTTCTTAATAAATAGTACTGTTACTGGAATCTTCGTAGTTAACACCATTGTATACATTTATTACTATTTTCTTTGGGTACATTTCCACAAATGAAATTACTTTTTTAACATCAAAAAGAGGAAGACAGTTTGCTGTGTAGTAGAGCTCTGGAAAAGACCATCTGACCATTTAACACCAATATGATTTGAAACAAGTTTCTTGTTTTGTGAACTGTTTCAACTGTCAGGTAGTCATCATGTGACCTGTCTTATCTTCTTTTACAACTTAACTGTATCCATTATCCACAGATACTTTCATTAGCTCTCCCACTTCATCACAGTTTATGTAAGTATTTAGGCTTCCTGAGGATTTTAAAAGCTAATTAGCTTGTGTGCAAAACCTGGTTTTTTTGGTATGTTGGCTTATCATCTATTTATTCATTTAAATTGGAGCTCTCATAACTAAACCTAAAACTTTTATAGAGTTTCTTTTAGTTGAAAGGGTCCTTTTCTGTAATGTAACTTGAGGTAAACTTTAATATTGAAAAGTTGGATAAGTTCTTTCTTAAAGGAAAATTAAAAAACTTTTATTTAGTTTCAGTATTTGACTGATACATAAATTTAGAAACTAGCCTGCAAACCCACATATCTCACATTTACTTACATGGCTAACCGGCCCTGTACTTTATAAATAATTCTATAATTTGAGTGTTTTAACTTAGTTTCTAGTCTGGCATGTTATAGTAAACTTAGAAATAAATAAGAGATAGCATTTCACCTTCAGACCTCCAACCATTCCATTTGAAAACATTCAACAAAATTCTTATTAGTAATTAGAAGTCATTATTGGGAAGAAACATTTAGAAACAATGAAAAAACAACATATAAAAATCTAATGATAAGCCACTAAAATTTAGAAGACTGGAATAGTTCCAAATATATGACGAGACATTTTCCTGAAGAAATATTTTTCAGGGGCCTCCCTGGTGATGCAGTGGATTGAGCACCACGCTGTGAAGCTGTTTGCAGCCTATGCGGTGCGGGTTCTATCCTGGCCGGCCGGCGAGAATGCCACATGGCATGGTAGACCGCTCCTGTGGCGCCCGCTGCTCCCCTCAGCAGTGTATTTCTGTCATCTGCCTGTTCTGTTCCCTGCTCTGCCTCTGGTGAATCCTCTCACCCTCCCACACCTCCGGCCTGTACCCCAGCTCTTGTATAAAAATAAATCCTTTAAAAAATATATTCTTCAGAAAAAGAGTTTTGTGTTTGTCTTGCTCTTGAACATGAAAGTATTATTTAAGAAAGGCACTTGACCTGAAATGCCTTTAGTACTTGTGATTTTGGAAAGCTCACAGAGCTAATCTGATAAGTAACTTAAACATAAAAAGGAGGCAAAAAAATCTAGAACAGAACTGGTTTCAAAAATCAGTTAAAAATAATATAGTGGTGGGCCTCCCTGGTGGTGCAAGGGGTTGAGCATGGGTGCAATGAGGCTGTCCGCAGCCTCTGTAGCGCACGTTCAATTCCCGATTGGGGAGGTGACCCACATGGCGCAGCAGACCTGTCTTGCCTGCTGCTCCCTTCTGCATGTGTTTCAGTCAGTCTGCCTGTTCTGTTTCCCGCTCTGTCTCTGGTGAATCCTCTCACCCCCTGCACTTCTGGCCTGTACCCCAGTTCTTACATGCATGAATAAATGAATCTTTAAAATAATAACATAGTGGCTATGCTGTAGATATTAAGTGTTTGTACAGAACATACAGAGAAGATCCTAACGTTTTATGTAAGTGGGTAGTTGTGACTGGGATAAAAATTTTAGTAATAGTATAATAATACTAGTTCAAAAAGTGCTTGTGTAATCTGAAAAGCTTAATGTGACTCAAAACATTTTCATGGACATTCATGTCTCTTGAGGATTTTCAATAAAATTATTCTATGACTATGAGATAAACATTTTGAATCATTGTTTTTATAGATCATGTGTTTTTAATATTTATACTAATAAATATTAGAAATATATATTTAATTGCTTTACGTGTTGAAATGATAAAAATTATTTTAAAATATTCTCATTTGTAAATAAGGGACCCACTTTATATTTGGAGTCACCTTATACATGCACATCCTTCGTTTATGGCCTTAGTGCATGTATTAGAAAATAACAAAAATTGGAAATACTTACATCACTTATTAATTTTAGTCATTAAGAAATGAACCACAAAGTAAAGCTAAAGCAACTGGTAAGAAGAAAAATGAAAAAAAGGACAGAAATTAGCAAAAGAGAAAAATAAAGAAACAGAAGATTAACAAAATTGAAAGCTGAATTTTAGACCAATACATTAAGCAAATAAAAAGGAAGGCAAGTGTTAACAGAATTAGAAATGAAAAGAGGATAATAATATCAGATGTAGTAGGGGTGTAAAAAAAAAAAAAATGAGCCAGTACTATGAATAAGTTTCTGGAAATTTCACCAAGGCTTGTGTAGACGAAGCAGAGTTGACTAAGGGGTAGGTTCATTAGTGTTTTGGCTATTTACATGATGTACCTTTTTTTTTTTTTTTTTATTTTTTTTATTTTTTTTTTTTAAGATTTTATTTATTTATTTATTTATACAAGCACTGGGTACAGTCAGAAGCGCGGGAGGGTGAGAGAATTCACCAGAGCCAGAGCGGGGAGCAGAGCAGGCAGAAGGACCGAAGGACACTGCTGAGGGGAGCAGCGGGCGGCAGGAGAGGTCTGCGCACCATGTGGGACCCTCCTCCGGTGGCCGGGGAGCAGCTGGGGATCGAACCGGCGCCTCAGAGGCCGCGGGCAGCTTCGCAACCCAGCGCTCAACCACTGCGCCACCGGGGAGGCCCTACATGATGTACCTTTTTGATGTTGAACAAGCCAGGCAAACCAGGTGCATCTGGGGGTACAGAATTGAGAGTTACTAGCTTATGAATGATGTGGGAAGAGTGAATTTGGAGACTGTTTTAAGACCTGAGGTGATAAGATTTTAACTAAGACAATGGCATTTGGTAAGAAAAGAAGATGTAGAATTAAAAGCTAGGATTTAAGTTCATATAGGTTCATGAAAATAGGTGAGTTAAGGAAGTAAGAATTAGGAAATGAAGAGCTTAATACTTCCAGCAGAATTTTATTACCTAGTGTATTAGATTAAAAAGTTCTCAGGAGGAAGCTCCATTTATAAGGAGATTTATTGATACATGAAGAAAATTTTGGGAAATGACCTTACTTTGATGCTTCATTTTAACTTCAATTTGGAAAATTTTGAGTTTTATTATAGCATCATAAAACATGATATAATTTTAAAATACAAAATAATTATATATTAATTTAGTTGATGCTAGTGTAACAAATAAAATTTCTTGGCAGAGATATTACCAGTATATCAAATTTTCAATTAACTAATATACTCACTATAGGTTTTCAAACTGAAACGGTAATCTCTTTGTTTTCTGAAAACTAATAATGTTTTAGAATGTTAGATCTTTCAGTGTGTTTGTAGGGTGAAAACTCAAATTTTTTAGATGTTTGCAAGAACATTTGTTCTCCGACAGCCTGGATTGTGTTTCCTGGTTTAAGATTTATTTCTTTCGCTTTAGGGGAAGAAGATATAATTTAACATTGGTTTTGAGGATGACACTGAATTTCAGTCACGGCCATGCAGCGGCATGCAGCATGATCCTATGCAGAAGTGTGGCTGCTTTGTACACCTAGTGAATAAGCTTCTTTTACATATTTTTCTCTGCTTGGATATAAAAATAAATCCTTTTGTCTTTTACAATCCAGGAAAAAAAGATTGAAAAAGGTCCTTGAGTTCTTATTTTCAGAATCTGAATAATCTTTCCTGTCCTTTACAGTTTTCTTTATTACAGGTTGGATATAGGCCCGGCCCTAACTCAGACAAAGACAACATTTCGACCCTGACAATCTTGTTTCCTTACTATGTGTTGTCTGTAATTTCATCAGAATTTTCAGGTGGTGGTCACAGTTTAATACTGTATTCATTGAAATGTGTGCTGTTTTTAATATTTTTAGAGATATGAAATAGAAGACATTGGAAAAAAAATAAGAGCTCCTGTTACTTTAAACTCACATTTTCATACGTGTAATTTTTATTCTCTACAGAATATAGTTAAAATTTAATGTTTCACTTACGCTTTCTTTTTCATTAACAGAGGTGACAACAGAATTTATAAAAGTGAAAAATTTGTAGAGGAGACAAAAAGAGAAGCAAAATGCCGAAACCAGTAAGTATATTTTATTACTTTTGACATAATTCAATAAAATGTGAATATCATTAAGTTTCTGTGGAACAGGGCAAAGTATTATGGTAGTGTTCTTTTTTTTTTTCCTTTCTTTTTTTTGGGTAAGATTTATTTATACAAGAACCGGGTACAGGCCAGATGTGCAGGAGGGTGAGAGGATTCACCAGAGACAGAGCAGGGAACAGAACAGGCAGACTGACTAAATACACTGCTGAGGGGAGCAGTGGGTGCGACAGGAGAGGTCTGCCGTGCATGTGGGACCCTCACAGGCCGGCTGGGACGAACCGGCGCTGCAGAGGCTGCGGACAGCTTCACAGCGCAGTGCTCAGCTACCTGTGCCACCAGGGGAGGCCCTAATGGTAGCGTTAAGAAGAAAAAGGCACTGATAAAATTGTTTTAAGGGCCTCCCTGATGGCGCAGCGGTTGAGCGCTGGGTTGCAAAGCTGCCCGCAGCCTCTACAGCGCCGGTTAGATCCCCAGCCGCCGGGCAAGGGTCCCACATGGTGCGTAGACCCCCTCCTGCCACCCGCTGCTCCCCTCAGCAGTGTACCTCCGTCCTTCTGCCTGTTCTGCTCCCTACTCTGGCTCTGGTGAATTCTCTCGCCCTCCCGCGCTTCTGACTGTACCCAGTGCTTTTATAAATAAAATAAATCTTTTAAAAAAAATTGTTTGATTTAAGATACTGTGGCTAGAGCCCATTATGTGGACCCTTAAGGAGAATGTCTAGGCAACACTGTAGTAAAGATTAAATCTCATGAGTTGTTGGGTTAAACTGTCCTATTTCCTGTCCTGGCTCTACTACTTAATCTGAATGACCTTTGCTAGATTAGTTTAGTGTCTCTAATTTTTAATTTCCTTATCCATAAAATGGACATTTTCACTGAAATTAAAGTCTTAATGATAGTTAAAGAATGATTTTATTAGATAAAGTCAGGATTCAAACCTGGCAAACAGTCTGACAGATTTAGTCTGTGAGAACTGCTCCACAATTACCGACTTGAATTCAGGTTATATACTTTGCTGTGGAGTATGATACCAAGTTTCAGTTCAGTTATATATCTTGTTACAGAGTACCATAGTTGTAGAGGAAGAAGAGGCATAGTGAGTCATTGATTGTAAAATTGGGGAGGGGGGGGAGACTTAGGCTTTTTGCCATTAGGTTTAGTTCTTTTGTTTCCTATCTTAACCTAAAGAAATGTCAGTGTTGCCTGTATGCAGAGGAGGGCAAATGCTAGAGTCTAGTTTCCTGGCTTCTGAAGAATGGTTTGTAGAGATACTACAACTAGGTACCCATTGTTAAAATTTTCTTTAGCTGACTCATTGGTCATTAGTAGTGGTTGAAAGCTTTGTTTACCCGCAAGCGTCCGATTCTTAGAGAATTCTTCACAGAACAAAATAAAATTGTTCTGATTTTAAGCCTATCCAGGTGGTTTTGCTCTCCTGTCTGGTAGCTAGGAGAGAGGGGTGGAGTGTTTCCCTGATCTTTATAGTATGTTCACAGAAATATAATTAGTTCCTTCCTTGGGAATATGGTGAAGACTACAAGAACCTGATACATACACGGTGTTCAGTTATAGTAGCACAGGTACGGGTGTGTGTGTGTGTTTGTGTGTGTGTGTGTGTGTAGTTAAACAAGAGAAAGTAATGAGGTCGGAAGGAGCCATGCTTTATTAATTTTTTCATAATTGCAGTTTTGGTCTTAGTGACATGGATGCTGATAATATATAGGTCTTACATTTCATTCTTAAGTGTATATATGCAATCATTTTACTTAATTTTGTAATTACATAGTTTGTGACTTAAGGTCTATTCCTCTTAGGATAAATGTTCTTTCTTCATTTAATAAACATTTTTTTTCAATAATATGTGCTTTGGCTAATTATCTTAAGAAAATCATTGGTTATAGTCATTGGAATTTCCTGTTACGAATATCACTTTGGAGTTGCTTTAAAGACTCAATATGTAACAGTACCCATTATTGAAGAAAAGAGTAAAAATAAATAAATGCATGGATATAAAAAAGGAAAAGCTAAAATTTTCTATTTGCAGATGACATAGTTATTTTTGTAGAAAATACCCAGGAGTCTGCAAAACAACTACTGAACTAGTAACTATTAAGCAAGATTATTGGGCATAAGGTTATATTTAAAAAATACTTTTCCAGCGGTCTGCTTTGGTTAGAACGATTAGGTGCTTGTAGAATGTATATTTTACTGCTAGAATTTATATGGGATAGCGAAAGCACTTTTTAAAAACAAAGAGTTGAAAAATTTACACTTCTGAATCTTAGCACTTATTCTCAAACTATGAAGATAAGACTGTAGCATCAGTAAAAGTATAAATGATAGGATCAGTGGAACAGAAATATACCAACATACATAAGTTAATTAGATATTTTCTGTCAAAATTCATTGGGAAAATAAAATTCATCCTAACAAATGATGTTGGAACAAAGTGTTACCCATACCGAAAACATAAATGTTGATGCATATTTCACAATTTACAGTCACAAAAAATTGTAAATAAAAATGAATATATCTTCTAGTATTTTTGCAGGTTCTAAAAGAGAAAATGGAAATCACCCAACCTAGTGCCTACTCTATGTCAAGTATTCAGTAAATGTTTTTTAAACAGGATTGTTTTTCATATAGACTTAAGATTTCCTGTGACTAAAAGCCAACTATCATTTTAATAAGAAAAATTATGTATAATTATGCAGTTGCCCTTTACTGCGTGCAAATACTACTTTATTTTATAAATTAGATGAAAGTATTTTTCTGTATTTAATACTTAATAAGTATATTCTCTTTCCTACTGTTTCTTCCTTTTGTTTTTATTGCAGATCAATGTAAGAGTAACTACAATGGATGCTGAACTGGAATTTGCCATTCAGCCAAATACAACTGGCAAACAACTTTTTGACCAGGTATTATTCTAGCGCATGAAGTTTGCAGGTTTTGACAGCATTGTGTGGATGCTGTTGTATCTGTCTAGGTTTTCCTATCCCTTTACTGACAACGTAACAGTGAAACACTTGAATGATTTTTCATAGTACCTATTCAGGTATATATTGAATAGCTAGCCATAGGGGATATTCACATCCTTTCTTGTTCCTACATTTGAGATATATGACTTTTAAAAAACAACAGTACGTATTTATTTAATATCTGCAATGCAAGTCATTGTAATGAGGAGTTAAAGGAACTCAGAACTTTTCTGTGGAGCCCCTGAGTGGAATGTGTGGAATGTCCTAGAGTGGCTTGGCAGGAGCAAAGGAATGGGAGTTAACTAAAGGGTATAAGTAGGCACCTAATAGTGGTGTGATCTCACTGACTCATGATTTTTTGGCTTGAGGTTAGAACATGATGTTATAAGAACTTAGGCAACTGATTTTGTCTTTTTTTTTCTCACTTGAGTGCATTTTTGAGTCACTTAAGGAGGTTTGAAAAAAATAAAGGCACTAATTGAAAAATACTGCTGGAGAGTCTCATTTTATTGTCTGGGGGCTTTTTGTAAACTGTTAATATTTTTAAGTTTAAGCTCCCCAGGTAATGCTGTGCGTAATAAAGTTTTATTTCGAAAAGAAGAAAAGTGATTGGTACCCAGAGGTCAGGTGACTAAGAAAGTGCATTGATGATTTCAAACAAGAAAAAGATGATATATCTTGCATGACTTGAGATCTAGATTTATATAAACTTTTACACGTCAGCAGGAGAGTAATCTGTGTTCGAACTAACTGGACCTAAAATGGTAGCGTTTCTGACTTACAGGTATAAAAAGCATATTAGATACCTTGATGTTTTGGAACTTTTTTAGGTGTCATTTCTTTACCTACTGATCCAAAATACGATGAAGTAAAAATTTTAAGTTCCTGGGGAATTTGTTCCTTCTTCTAAACGTAGAATTTTTAATCTCCCGATTAGGTAATTAACAAACTTCAAAACCCTGATAAAAGATCTTCTAAAAAATGAAAGACTGTGTGTAAGCAGATTTTTAAAGCAAAATCATTAGAAGTTACATACAGCATGTATTATAGCTATTTTACCTTGAGAACTAATATCCACATTTGTTGATTCTTTTAGGTCTTCTGTTTGTAAATACATAGTTTGATTTGAATAAAAATGTTAGTGGTGTTAGCACTTGTGTTTCATAGCTAGTTGAAATGTTAATTTATACTGAATGAAATGTTTGTGGTAGCCAAAAAACTAAGTAGTATGCATGCCTTTTTGTTACTGGATGCTAAGAAATGTTTTTTAATCCAGTAGAATTGCTTTCATTTAGATACCAGAGGGAGTGAAATCTTAATTATTATAGTGCAATATGTGTAGTTTGAAAGTGTGGGCTCTGAAGCCACACCGCCTGTAGTAGATTCCCAGCTGTAGCTCTTTGACTGTGGACAGAGTGTTCTCTTTGCTCATTTTTCTCATTTGTACAATAAGGATGATAAGAACATTACTCCCCCAGAAGGTTGTCATGAGAATTAATTGAGAGTCTGTGTGAAGTGCATAGAAAAGTTTAGGATGTGTAAGTAAATGCACACATGTATATATTTATGCTGTAAAAGAAGGTCTGCATTAAAGAGTATTGTTATTTTGGGCCCTCTCAGTAGTGAATTCTTAAAGTTTCTGTTTTGTTTCCTGTCAGTTTCCCTTGAGCCCAAATGTGAGAACCTAAAAGCAGGGTTTGACTTTACCTTGAATGCAGTGAGTATATAGGATGAGTTGGCAGGTATAGAGGTTTATAGTTGGATCAGAAGCAGACTTCGAGATAAGGATAGTCTCAAATGAGGGTCCATAATTACCTGAGTCCACCTCTAACAAAGCCTCGCTCTTGATAATGATGATAGCTTGAGGCCAGTTGTTTTGTGTAGGGGGCTCTAGTTGAGTGCTTATGTTCTTAGGTTACTCCTTGCTGACTCTTGCTTTATTGCTCTGTTTTCCAGCAGCTTCTTGTGGGATTAAAAGCATACTCTTTCATTAAATGTTGGCACAATCATGGGTTTGGGACCTAGTTCAACCTCTTGATTCTACTTTTGAGTGCTCTTCACAGAGTGATCAATCTTTGCAGTGATATGGATATTAAGATAAATAAGGCAATACTTCTTTCATTTTAAAGTCAAGGAGGATAAATAGACATAGTACTGATTTACAATTAATTAGGCCGTGATAAAGTAAATGTTCTAAGAGCATTGTAGATAAAGTACGGTGGGAACATCAAGGAACATGTGATTAATTTTATCTAATGATAGGAGAGCTTCATCCATGGAAGGCATGTTAGTTGAGCTAGATCTTGAGGGATGAATTATTCAATAGGTGGTAAAATATAGTATAAACATCCTAGGCAGGGGAAAAGCATGAGCAAAAGTAGAGAGTAAAATGCGTGGAATGTTGCAAGAATGGTTTATTGCTCAGTGAAGTTAGAACATAGAATATACGATGAGAAATGAAGGTAGTAGGAGTGGAGATAGATGCAGCTAGACAACCTTTGGGGTATGGTGTTTCAATATCCTTGGAGACTCACCAATTTAAATGACATTTTTGGCCATATCTATTGATAGTGTAGCTGTGAGGCTAATTTTAAATAAGAAATTGGAATTATGATAGTGCTTTATCTATTTCCCAGACTGTTCTTACCTGTTAGTGTCATCATCTTTTCTATGCAAAGTAATATACCTGTAATAGCTATGTAGTTTTATTTTTTTTTTAAGTATAATGTCATCTAGTTATATAATCTGAACATTGAACTGAAATTGACTTTTTTTTTCTTTTAAGGTGGTGAAAACAGTTGGTTTACGTGAAGTCTGGTTTTTTGGGCTGCAGTATGTGGACAGTAAAGGTTATTCTACATGGCTTAAACTAAATAAAAAGGTAAAATATGTATAATAACATTTAGTTAATAGTTAAGTTGCTTTGAAATAATCATGCTCATGAATTTGTGCTGGAAAAGTTCAGTTTCTGACTGCAAGCATACCTTTGCTGCTGTCTGTATGAATCATTAGGGGACTTGTGTCTTTTGATTCAGTAAGGTGTTATTTGGAAACTTAGCACATAAGAAGTATTTTTCGCATAGTACTTTGATTTTAAACATTTGCAAGAAAGATACTTTAAAGAGAAATTTTAGTTTGGCTACTAGGTAGGAGTTGTAAGTTAGAGGTCATATTTATGAGTTTCAACCTTTTTTCTTAAATTTAAAGGTTTAGAATATTACATAGCAAACTCCTACAGATTTAGAGTGTTATGTTTCACATCCTACTTTCTTCCAGAATTAATTGAATGTGTCTAGGTTAGTTATCATGCACTTAAAATTTTTGGTGATATACATGAAATCTGTTCCAGGTGACACAGCAAGACGTTAAAAAAGAGAATCCTTTACAGTTCAAGTTTAGAGCTAAATTCTTTCCAGAAGATGTTTCTGAGGAATTAATTCAAGAAATAACACAGAGACTTTTCTTCTTGCAAGTTAAAGAAGCTATCTTAAATGATGAGATATATTGCCCACCAGAAACTGCAGTTCTTTTGGCTTCCTATGCAGTCCAAGCAAAGTATGGAGATTATAATAAAGAGATTCATAAGCCAGGCTACTTGGCTAATGATAGACTTCTACCCCAGCGGTAAGTAAAACATGCTTTTTATTATATTCTCTGAAAAATTCTACTTCTGAAGTTTGTAAATAGATTTTCTTTCTTTTAGATTTTAAGTTGCTAGCTACTTTTGAAAATTATGACCCACTAGCTACATAGATTTATATACTGTGTAAATTACCTGAACTTTCTGCCTCTTCTCATTCCTATAAGATGAGCAGTAAATGGAAGCAAAGATAATTTGTGGTTGGGATGATGTGACTGTTACTGCTTAATAAAAATTCTCATACAGGCAGATAGGTACTCAATAGATGCTTTTAAAACTAATAGATTGTAGGTTTCTGCCATAGAATTAAAATTGTTTCTAACTTTTTGAAGGTATTTATTTATGGTAAAATGTAAAGAGGATTTTGAAATCAGCACCTAAGCTAAATATTATGTGTAATCAAAATAACCCTTAAAATGTTTTGCTTGTTCTTAAAGGAATAGGCTTGCTTTATCTTATCAATTACAATGTAGGTAGTTAGATAGCTGTTTGGTTGAGAAGCGGATGAAGTAATTGGCTTGCATTAGTAGTTATGTGATTTAAAAAAATCTTGTAATCACTGGAATCACATTTAAGCACAATTTCTTACATTTCTTTATTTTTTATGCCTGTCGTTTATAATCTTTCTTTCAAAAGACGGAAGATAAAAGATAGTGCATGTTCTTCAAAATTTGTTCTTTAACTTTCATTGTCCACAGTCCAGTATTCAAGTTGATAGCCTCAGGAAGACTAAATAAAGCTATTAAAGCTTAAAAAAGAGACAGTGTCATAATATTTTTTTTTTAAAGCTATGGGTTTTTTTTTTTTTAAGATTGATTGATTTATTTATACAAGCGCTGGGTACAGTCAGAAGCACGGGAGGGTGAGAGAATTCACCAGAGCCAGAGGAGAGAGCAGAGCAGGCAGAGTGACAAAGTACACTGCTGAGGGGAGCAGCGGGCAGTAGGAGAGGTCTGCGTGCCATGTGGGACCCTCGCCCAGCGGCTGGGGATCAAACCGGTGCTGCAGAGGCTGCGGGCAGTTTCGCAACCCAGTGCTCAACCACTGCGCCACCAGGGAGGCCCAATGTCATAATATTTTGATTTAGAATGGAGACGATAACTTTGTAGTGATTGACTTATTCCACATATGGAATATTACTTTTTTTCTCACTGAGTATTGGGGGAGAAATTAGTAATCTGAAGGTTATTTGGCGATTGTAAGTCAAACAACATAATTTGATAATTTTGATGAATGCTTTTAATTTTTATATTGAAAATTCCGAGAAGCAATCTCTTCACCCATAGTAGGGTTAAATTCATTGGTTATATGGATAATCACCTCCACCATGTAGTATCTTTCTATTTTAAAAGGGCTAAATAAACATAAACTTTCACATTCCAAGTTTCTGACTTGGGCAATTAAGTGGTTACAGAGAGAGGAATACATTTTGGAGAAGAAAGATCTTAGTTTTGAACTTGTTGAGTTTAAAATATTAACAGTATAATCAAGACAAATAATATTCATTTGTGGATGGGTGTATGGTTCTTGGAAAACAGTCTGCACTATAAGTACATTTTTGGGAAGTAATCTGCAAATAGATAATCCATGGTAGTGAAAGAGACCTGAAAGTACATACGAATTAGACAAAGGCCTAGAACAGACCTTGTTGAAATGTACAAAGGAAGACATTTCAGTAAAGGATATTGAGAAAAAATGGCCAAATAGATTAGACCAGGGGGAGTGTTACTTCATGTAAGTCAAACAAAAAGAGTGCTTTAAGGACAGACCCTTTGGTGGTGTCAAATACAGAGAGGTCACGTATAAATAGATCTAATGTCTGTTGGATTTAGCAATAGAAGATTGGTGAGAGCTGTTTCAGTAGAGTGTTGGGAATTGAAACCACATTGTGGTGAATTGTGGCATTGGATATGAGGTATGGAAATGCAGGATGGTGCATATGGGTAAGTTCTTGAAAAGGGTTTGGGAATTAAGAAAAGCTAGGAGTAGAGAGGCGTGTGTGTATTTATTAGTTTTATGCTCTTGTACCATATGCATGGACTTGAATGACAAAAATACCACAGCTAAGGTAATGAATGATTCTAGAATTATAAAAGAATATTGATTTTGAATCAGAGACATTTTCATAGATTTGATTTCCTTGTAGTGTTTTGGAACAACACAAATTGACGAAAGAACAGTGGGAAGAAAGAATACAGACCTGGCATGAGGAACATAGAGGAATGCTAAGGTACTGGGATGGCTATTTTCTTAGAGTTTTTCCTCAAAGTATTTTTATTTCATAGCATTTATTACTGCGTCAGATTATTCCTGAGAGATCATGTGTGAATAAATGTAAAGATAAATTTTAATCCAAAGTATTTTGTAATTTGTTTGGTATTAGATACTTGTACATTACAATAAGCTTTATTTCAACAGGGAAGACTCTATGATGGAATACCTGAAGATTGCACAGGATCTAGAAATGTATGGAGTCAACTATTTTGAAATAAAAAATAAAAAGGGAACTGAATTATGGCTAGGAGTGGATGCTTTGGGTCTGAATATTTATGAGCATGATGACAAGTAAGTAAATTGATTGCATACTGACAGTCATTATTCTGTGATCTATCTTTTTAGTATTCTTGTTAAGTTCTTTTTTGATTTGATTACTCAAACAGCATTTTTTTCCCCAAATTAAAAGTTTAGTTAACGCCACAAAGATTTTTAGATATCCTACGTCTGTTTTCTCAACAATTTGCAGTGTCAGAATTCTTCTTCTCCGTGTTTTTATTTAATAGATGATATGCTTTTATTTGAAGTGTGCTTCTTGATACTTTGTGCGTCATACATCAGACTCTTACAGCACTTTTCAGGAGTAATAGCTGAAATTGCTTTATACCATTAATTTATTTACCATTCCATATAAGCATTCCAAGTCTGTGCCAGTAACACCTCCTCAAAAAGGCATTTCTCATCATTCTGTGTTGCCTTTAGGAATTTAGTTTCATTATTTCAGATGGCTAATAAAAATACACATTTCTAAGTATAAATAATTACTCCAAAGGAGCATGTTACTGATTGTATGTCCACACGTTTTTTATTTATAATGAAACAAAAGGCTGTATCCAGAGAAGAAAAGCTTGAAATTTTTGAAAAGCAAAAATGATTTCAAGACTAACTTTTTAGACTGAATCTTTTCTTCTTTATACTGCATTTCTATTAGAGTATATGCATGAGAGAGAATCAACTCAATAAGGGAGGGACTGGGATTGGGAATTGTGGTCAGAGTATACCTAAATCTGATATGTAATGGTTTAGTTTATTTTTATATTGAAAATGTATTCATCTATTACATTTGGAAAATTTAAAAAAAAAATTAGGGTATAATTTAAAAACCTTAATTAGGCTCTTCTGCCAGCCCTATTTTGTGATCCTGGTCAACTTACTGACTTTGTGAAATGAATATAGTTATCAGGCTCATCTCATAAGACTTTTGTGGGATTATGAAGACATAGCTTTAGAATTTTCAAAGTAACATGTTAAGTGTAGTCTAGAACTCTCTAAAACATTTAGCTTTAACTTACCTCAATGGCCATTAGAGGGCAGTGTAACACATACACAGTGGCTAAAACACTGTGGAAAAACTGCTATGCTGCAGTTCCTAGTCTGCTTGAGTTATTGTTTGTTTTCATGTGATTTTTAGTTGATCAAATATCTCCTTTAAAGAAGTATGTTATGAATAAGTTACTATGTCTTGAAAATCTTGAACTTTTTCAACTGGTCACCCAGCAAAATTGGCCCCCAAACAAAGGTATTATTGCATTTGGTCCATTGTTTCCTACTTTTAATTAAAAAAATGCTTTTTTTTTTTAAGATTAACACCTAAAATTGGTTTTCCCTGGAGTGAAATCAGAAATATTTCATTTAATGACAAGAAATTTGTTATAAAGCCAATCGACAAAAAAGCACCTGTAAGTAAAATTGGTTTATATTTTAAGCATTAACTTTTTTTTTAATTTTTGCCACTTTGCTGTTATGTCACTTGGGGCATTATATTGTTTATTAAATTGCTCCTGAAAACATTCTCTTTATTGTTTTTCTTTCCCACTGATAAAATAGTGAATGATATTAAAATGATGTACAAGTTTTAATTTTTGCAGCATATAAATACTAGCTTTATTTTAAATAGATTTAATTATAGGTAGGTAATATTTAATCAGAGGTTGTTGAAAACAATCACCATTTCTAAGAAGTTATAAAAGAAACTTTCCTCTTGTAGTATTTGTCTAGAATGTAGTAGAGATAACCCTATTCTAAATTAACTATGATTATAGAGTTTTGCAGCATGAACTTTGTAATTTTGTAACTTGAAGTCTTTAAGAACTCTGTCTAAACAGATTGTCTGATTCCTTTAGTGCCAAGTAGACTTTGGTATTCTCACTCAGTTATTAAAAAGACAAAAAAGAGGGAACATTTCTAGTTTAGGAGATTCATAGTTACTGTGGAGAAGAAAAAGAATGAATGAAATTTAATGTATGAAAGGATGAAAACATTAGTCTCACCACAAAATTGGTGGGAGGTTAAGAGGTGAGAAACTAGTTATGCGAATGTATAACATACACACTAGGAATTATAAAATTGTATGATTTCTAAACTATATGTAATATGACATTAGAATTAATAACATGTTGAAATCTAGTAGAGATTATTGTGAGAAAGATTCTCATTGAGGAAGATTTTAAATTCAGAATATTTTGTTTAGGATTTTGTTTTTTATGCACCTCGTCTGAGAATCAATAAGCGGATTTTGGCCTTATGTATGGGAAACCATGAACTGTACATGAGAAGAAGGAAGCCGGATACTATTGAAGTACAGCAGATGAAAGCTCAGGCCCGGGAGGAGAAACATCAGAAGCAGTTGGAAAGGTATGGAATGCATGGCCTTTTCACTCTTCCGTTGGTAGGAGTAGGCTGTCTAAAATTTAAGAATGCTCATTTTTTTAACATACTCTTAAATTTATACTTTAACATTTTCATTATATTAAAATTGAATGACTGTATTGTCAGTGTCCTCTTTTAAAATGAGTATATATAATTTTCAAGTTAGAAAACTGACATATTCTGAGAGAATAGCTTTTCATGACTTAACAGATGTGCTTTTTTGTGTGTGTTCTATTCACTGACATTGTTTTGGATGTTGTAGTTTGATTGTAGGTTAGCTGTGGAATTTCTGTGTCATGGCTACTGCCTGTGTCTTTCACAGAACATAGGTTTTGGAGCCGGATGAGTCTGGGTTTGAATCCTCTTCTGACATTTGTTGAAAAAATAACTTCCCTCGAGCCACCGTTCTCTTGCTATTAATATGAAACTAGTAGTCTTACCATCAGGGTTTTTTTTTTTGTTTGTTTGTTTTTAAGAAATAATGACACTGTTGTATACACATTTTGTAAAGTACCTAGTATTTAGTAAATAGCCATTATAATAATTCTAATGATATTAGCTAATATACTAATACTTTAATATTAATGCTTAACTAGTATCATTATGCTAATAATATTAGTAACTGACAGTTGAGTATAAGTTTTTAATCTTCACTTAAGAGAAATGTAATTGGACCTATCTGATACCCTTAAAATTCTAAAAAAATAATTATTGCTTATTAGAAGAGAGAATTTATAGTTTATTAACATATTTATAAATAGAACAACTTGGTAAAATGAGTTACCAAATCTAAACTCTAAAGAGAATATTTATATTTAGGTTTTAATTATAAGAAGTTTCATGAAGAAAGTAGGAGTTTACTAAGAGTTAAGGTTAGGGATAGGCTTGAGCATTAGAGGGGAAAGATATTTTCAGAAGAGGAAGCCAACATAAGTAAATGCATAGCTTTATGAAAATGCATGTCTAGGGGCCAATGAATGGATCAGATAGGTCTCGCCCCCAGTGAACAGTGTTCAGAGGAGAAATAAGCTCTTCCGGTTTTCTAGGGGAGGCAAGACAGGCCTGCAAAATCAAGGTATCACTAAGGGGTGTGTGGAGCCAAAGGTATTTGTATTAATTGAATGGATTGTAGGTTGGTGATAGTTGTTGTCGGGGAAATTTTTACAAGCTCTGAGACCCAAGCCTCATAAGAGTGCGGCAGAGTAAATTGCAAAATATTTTAAATATTATAATCAGTTTCAATATCTGCTGTACATTTATTCATTTTTTAGGAGAGCGACTAAATTTATTCCCTTGAATTGCACGTTACCTTCACTTTTTTTCCTGCTTCCCCATCTCCTTTACATCTCTGCTTGAGGAGGAATAAATGAAACAGCAATAGGGAAAACCACTGCTCATCTTTAGAATGGGCCATGTGAGCCATAGCTGGATCTTAAAGGTTCTGAATTTATGGAATGTGATTGTAGCTTCCAGGTGTTGAGATGTGGTTTGTTGTGGGAGTCCTTCTGAATTGTCTCAGGATTGGGGGAGGGGGTGGAGGGGGGGTGGAGCAGGGAGGGAGGTGACTGTCTTGTTGAAGTTCAGCAGCACTGGATGTGAAGAGCTGAGGCTGTGGAGTGGTTGAGGTAATCTAATCAGCCCCTAGAGATGGCAGGTAGTGTGACCTGCAAAAGGGTAACTCTTGGCTGTACTGGCAATTACTTAGAAAGACTGCCTTTGTTTCCATGCACGGCCTGCTTTTTTTTGTCCCCTAAAGAGTACAGCAAGTCAGCAGCCTCTGCTGGGGCAAGTGCATGCCTTTGCTTGAGGAAATTAGGAAATAGGTAAAGTGTGCTGCAGAGTGAGCCCAGTCTGGCTGGAGTTGGGTTGTCTTAGCTATTGACTCTTCCTCCTAGTTATTGAGAAGTTACTTCCATAGGGATTCCTAGAACAGAGGTGGAGCTCTCCATATTGGAATTCTTAACTGTTGTGTGGGAAGGGTGGTGACTCTTAAGCAGTAGGTTTTGGCTTTATGGTAGGAGGTCACTTGACTTTGTGTCCTGAGACTAGTCACCACCAGTTGTCACAGCTCTACCTGTCTGCCCCACAGCTGGATTCCTGCTCTGGGTTGGGGGCACATAGGTATCTAAGAACTGTAGGGATTTTTAAAATTTATAGAGCAAGGGAAAAAAAATTGAAAATATAACTTTGCCAATAAGTTTATCAGAGACTAGAAGTTGAGAAACTACGTAGTTTGGAGCCTGAAATTCAGAATTGAGACGAGATGGCAATGATTTATTTGGGGGGAACATTTAGTTATATTCAGATAACTTTTAGAGATGAAATCTTGACTTTTTAAACAAATTTATTCTCAGTAAAATAATGGGAATATTGAATATTCATTAAAGTCATTAAGTAGAGAATTAATATAGTATCTCATCTAACTCTGACTCATCTTTATATTTCTGCCTGTAACTTAGAATCTGACCTGTGGTAGGCTCTTGGCAGATGTTTGATGATTGAATTGGGCTCTGTAAAATAAAAGCCTCATCAGGGCCTTCGCATATGCAATCACAGTGGGAGACACTCCTCACCAGGGAGCTCTCACCATGATCTTTTTAAACAGTATTAGATACCTGCCCCCATACTACTGGGATTATCACAGGAGATAAAACTGATTGTCATCTAAACACAAATAGGTGCTAATTTAGGAATTAAGCTTGTGTTCCTTCATTGTTAGTGACTGAAAACTTGCCTTCCCAAGCCGGGTTATTTTACTGTTGAAGGTAAGATAGCCTTCAAACCTTTGTTATTTTCTCCAGTGGAGGGCTTCTGCTCATCTAAAGAAGGCATTTTCTTGGGTTTGGCAGTTGTGCAGCTAATTCCTTTTTCCTGTTGTATAAAGTTATCATCAAAGTTAATTCACTGTGCAAATGGCAAATCTGTCTCTCCCCCTCCGCCCCCCACACCCTTAAGCCTACATTAAAACCATGGGCTGTATCCCATAGCATACCAGGGATGTATTTGCCAGTTTACTTTCCTAGCAGCTTTGCAAATTCGTCCTTTCAGAATCTTCCTAAAATTAAATTTTTAATATTTTTCAGAATAGTCTTTGACTATATTTACTGTGGCCCTACAATAAGAACTATATGTAATACAGTATGTGTGTATGTAACAGCATATTCTTGTATTTTCAACTACATGAATTTTTTTACACGGGTGACCATAATGACTCAAAATATTTATGTGGTAGTTTCTTCTTGATTCATAATACCTAGGTTTTATGTGAATAGTCCTAAAATTTGTTACAAAGTAATTGTATCTCCTTTCAAGGGCACAATTAGAGAATGAAAAGAAGAAAAGAGAAATAGCAGAAAAAGAAAAGGAAAGAATAGAACGTGAAAAGGAAGAGCTAATGGAACGTCTAAGGCAAATTGAAGAACAGACAATGAAAGCCCAGAAAGGTAAAGGCTTCTTTTTGACACTATTAAAAGTTGTTGTTCTAGTCTCAGATAGTATTATTTCCTCCTTCTAAATCTTATTTTCTTACATAGAGTAATTACATTTAATTGTTAAGTGAATATGTAGTGGAATCACATCTTAAAGATGGTTAAGGCACATTCAGCTATACAGTACTTGTTTGTTCTTTCTCTTCATTTGCTTGAACACTCAAATATTCTCGTGTGTATTCTTTTTTTTTTTTTTTTTTTTTTTGAGGCATGCTTTATTTATTTGTTTGCTGGTTTGTTTGTTTGTTTTGTTTATACAAGCACTGGGTACAGTCAGAAGTGCGGGAGGGAGGGTGAGAGAATTCACCATAGCCAGAGGGGGGAGCAGAGCAGGCAGAAGGACCGAAGTACACTGCTGAGGGGAGCAGCGGGCGGCAGGACAAGTCTGCGCGCCATGTGGGACCCTCCTCCGGTGGCCGGGGAGCAGCCGGGGATCGAACCGGCGCCGCAGAGGCCGCGCGCAGTTTCGCAACCCAGCGCTCAACCGCTGCACCACCGGGGAGGCCCTTCTCGTGTGTATTCTTAATATTTTAAATGAGTATACTTTATTCTTACTAATGCTAGGGTTCCATAAACAAAAACATTCATATATAGTGCTTTATGGTTATTTATGTACAGCTGGTCCTTGAATAGCACAGTTTTGTTGATGTTATTTCATTATAACATTGATAAGACAAAAAGTTGGAGGCCTATGTTGAGCAGAAGAATATTATTTGAGGACCTGGTTTCATTTTATGTCGTTTCATTTAACAGTCCCAGCTTCCAACAACTTACCCACCTCAAGTGAGAACTTAATGTACTGTAAGGCATCTAGGAAATGTAAGGCATTTTAAGCTATTTCTGACTATATAAATTCTTTTGGAAAAATCTCTAAATTTGAATGCACTAAACTGTGTTTTTTAAAAAGGGAAAATTTAAAGTTTATAATACTGGTCTGAACTTTCAAGAAAAGAATGAATTCAAGCATTTATCATTTATATAATACCTATCCTAGTAGAATGGCTACTTACTGAATCTTTCAATTTCATTTATTTAGGCTATATAGTAAAAATATTAGTGATTTACATACAGAAAGCTACTCAAGTAAAGAAGTGCTAAAGAATATGAGGAAGATAGAATATAAGGAAAACAGTAGAGCATCACTATCAAGACAATTTCAGATCAGTCATCTTTTTCCAAAGGACATCATTTGTTTGTTTGTTTCTAATAATAAAGCATTCCCAGACTGTCCTAAAATCTGTGTGATTGTTTTGTAATTTATACTAAGTTCTCCTTCAAATGCAGTAACTCTTGTCATATCTAAGTCATGATATACAGTAGATAAACCTGTAATTTTTTTGTTTGACAAGAATCTTTTCTACACTTGTCATTTTCTTTTAAAAAAGTTTATTGAACTCATTACTTGAAATTATTAATAAATCATTAAGTAGAACTATTCTACCATTTCACATTTCCATAATTCATCACTGTTAAATTACTTATCTTCCTTGATCTTTTTTTAAAAAGATTCTTCAAGACACTGGTAACCACATGTGAAATATAATACAGCCAGATATGTGTTCATCTACTGTTCTAGCAAGTGTCAGAGTTCCATAAACAAAACTTCAAAAAGAGAGACTTATAGTATCGTGATTTCAATTGTTCTGGGTTCTTAAATAAGCATGTACTATGTTCTGGGTATTGGGAATATAGTACTGAAGAAATGTGATCCTTACTTTCATGTAACTTAAATGTTATTGAGAAAAGTAATAAAAATAACATAATAAAAATCATTTCATATAGCTTTAAGTGCTGTGAAGGAAATTAGCATGATAATGAGATAAAAGTAGTAGTGAGTAGGATAGTATTGTCTACTTTAGGTATGTATTGTTTTACAGATACATGATACATGCCAAGCTTTAAATTTTTTTAATTTAAATCAAGCTTTAATCCTTTTGATTTCCTTATATTCCTATTATCTTAAATGCAAGTAAATAATCCCTAACCCTAACAATCCTTAAGGTTTCTGAAATTTATAGTTTCGTTAAATTTTTTTCATTGCAGTGTATATTAATATGCTTAACTTGTGTGTGGCATAAATTGTGTCAATTAGATACAGTAATGTGCCTGTCTCGGTGAGAGACCCATTGACATTTTACAAAGTGAACCTATCCCTTCAACATAAGGAATATTACCCGCACTCAGGGATTCTCTCCTATGTCCCTTTCCAGTCTTTTTTTTTTTTTAAAGCACAATGTGTGTGACTTGTATTCTGATTTGTATCATCATAGGGTTGAGCCTTACTATTTTTTCTAATATTTTCATTGAGATATAAGTCATATGCCGCACAACTAGCAAAAGAACCATGTACCAACACATTCACAGAGTAGTGCACCTTTACCACAGTTTATCACCCCCAAAAGAAATCCCATACCTGTTAGTGGTCACCCTAGGTCTGCCCTTGTCTGGCCCTAAGCAACTGCAAATCTACTCTTTGTCTCTATAGACTTGGATATTTCCATGGAAGGAATTACACAAATATGATCCTTGTGGCTTTTACTGAGCCTGGTGTTTTCAGGGTTCATCAGTGTTGGAGCATGTCTCAAGCACGTTCATTTCCTGAATATACAGCAGTGGAATCATCAGCTAGCTGTTGGGCATTTGGGTTATTATGAATACTATTGTGAACACTGTGTACTGGTCATTGTGCATTTCCATGTTTCCATTTCTTTGGGATATCTAAATCTGGGGGGATTGCTGGGTATCATATGGTAACTTAACTTTTTTTGAGGAACTGCCAAAGTGGTTTGTAAAGTAACTATACCAATTTACTTTCCCAGCAGTAATTTATAATTTTTCCACATTCTCACCAACACTTGTCGGTGTTTGTCTTTTGGATTATATTCATCTTACTGTGTCTGAAGTGGTATCTCATCATGCATTTTCCTAATGGCTAATGATGTTGAGTACCTTACCATATACTTTTTGATTATTTTTATCTTAGGAAAAATATATTCAAATCTCTATCCATTTTTCAGTTGCATTGTCTTATTGAGGTATAAGAGTTTTTAATATATCTGGATGCAGCTCTCTCATTAGATACATGATCTACAGATATTTTCTCTTTCTATGATTTGTCTTTTAATGGTTGATGGTATTCTTTGCAACCCAAGAGTTTTAATTTGTATGGAATTCCAGTTTATTTATGATTTCCTTTGTTGCTTGTACTTTTGGTAACATGCCTAAGAATAGTGTGTTGTCTACTTTGAAACTACATATCAGTGAGTATATATACTTTACATATGACTTCTTTTTTGCTCAGCTTTATGCATGTTAGTGAAGGTTCTTTACCATTGTTGTATAATATTCTGTTGCATACATATGCCACAATTTATCCATTCTACTGGTGATGTACATTTGTGGCTGTTTTAAAATAGTGCTGCTATGAGCAGAGATAAGGTTTTACTAGGCCTTTCTAACTTAAGAGGGCCCTGAGCTCCAATCTTTGATTTCCCAGTTATAAGATTGTTAGTCTCTCCTCTCAGCTCTTTAGCTTTTTATAGTTCGCATTTTCCCTGTTTTCTTAGTTTTCTTATCCCATATGTGTACATTTTAGGAGTTAGTAAACATCTTAAGAGGAAATAGTACACAAATTTAAGGGCTTGCTTTTCTATTCACTTGTCTTCATGATCTTGGCCTCTCAAGTCTGTGGGGCTTTGGCATCCTCAAAGTCTAAATCTATCTTCTCAACCTGGTGGAATGCCACAGCCTCAGGCTACTGAATTCACCCTCCCTAACCCACTCTACTGGTAATAGTACGTACCCTGTTTTTTATATACATAAGCAAATCCATAAAGATATATTCCTGATTCAACTTCTTTCTTACACAAAAGGTACATATTGCATGCATCCTTTTGCACCTTGCTATTTTCAGTTGTAATCATGAAAATCACTTCATGTGCACTCGTAGAGAGCTTCCTTACTTTTTAAAATGGTATCATAATCATTACTTAGATGTATCACAAATACTTTAAAATTGCTTTTCCAGTAATTTGTAATCACAGTCTTAATTCTGTAATAGCTAAGAATTTTGATTGTGAAACTTCTACTTGCTTTTGTTTTATAGTAATAATTAGTTCTTTCCCCAGTATTAACACTTTAGTACTTAATGAGCTGTTTCCCTGGATGGGGAGAAGGAAGAAATATCTGTAATCCTTTTGAGATGTTTATCAGTATACTTTTCACTAAAATTGTTAGAGTTATATAACTTCCATGCTTTGCCCTCTGAGTAACTTAAGCTAACATTTGGCTTGCAAACTCTTAGGCCTGTCAAAAACAAGTGATATTGGTGTTCAAGCCTGATGGAGTAAGAGAGACTTTCATAAAGTTTACTAGGTTGAACTTACAGTAATTTCCTTAGTCTACTCTGTTGAACACCATACCATGTGCGTCTATACAATGCAATGAGAGAAACACTTTATTCTTCTAAACTTTAACCTTTGTCCAGAAAGAGTTGCTATGTTAACAGAAGCCAGATTCCTTGGTGCCCTCTTCCCAAGTGCTATCCTTCAAAAATTACAGGTTCTAATTTTTTTTTAATCAAATAGGCAAAACACTAATTACTAATTAATGCATATTTGAGCTCCAGAGGGACATTTGTTTCATAGGAATAGTCTAACTCATGGGTTTGCAAGCAAGGGGCCAGGTAATAAGTATTTCAGGCTTTGCAGTCCACACTGCTTCTGTTACAACTGCCAACTCTGCCATTGCAGCATGCAAGCCAGTCTTATATGACCCCTAAACAATGAACAGTATTGTGTAGTGCCATTGAATGAGGATATGTGTTCCAGTGAAACTTTATTTACACAAATAAGGCTTTGGGTTGTATTTGATGAGGTCAGTCATAGTTTGATGATCTCTGTTATAACTCAATTAACTCGAAGGGAAAGAAACAGCCAAAGTCATTTATGGGATATATGTTTATTCAAACCCTTACTTTCTAGAGGAACCTAGAGTAGATTTAAAGTTTTCATTTCATTTTCAACATTTAAAGAAATAAGACATTTTGTAACTTTTAATCTACCACTAAACAGCTGTTGCCTTGTCTATCATTCTTCCAATTGATGTTGATTACAAAAGTCTAATGGAAAATAATGAATATTAGGGAATATTTTAAAGTTTAAGTTTGTAGTCAAATTTATTGTTCTTTCTTGCCTCATAGTACAGAAAGAAGTTTGTTACAAGGAAAAGTAAAGCATTGTTTTTATTTGTAAACTTTTATTTAGTTATCTGTTGGCTTGTTTAGAAGATTGATAAAGCTGTGAGTTTTGTAGGCTTTATTTTATGAAAGATCAGTCAGCCAGTTGGGAAGAATGATGATAAAAGTTTGATGAACTAGCTTGATGTCCAGATTTTATAAGGCAAATTTTAAAATGATTACTCTTAGAATTTGAATGTAGTAATCTGTTACTTAACAGTTCATTTTACAGCCATATAATCCCATAGAATTTTGTGTTATTTTATCAAGAATAAAAGTCTAACCAGAGTCATTTTTTTTTCCAACCCTCTCAGAACTTACCTTCTTAACTGCAGTTACTTAAGTTAGTTCTGACCAAGACCAACAAAAATAAGAACACTAAGGAAAAGCTTGTACATTACAGTTCACTTTTAGATCTTAAGACAGAGATTGTCAGTTTTTCCTCAGCAGAGTCATTCTTTGTAGGACATTGTGCTCTTTTAATAGCTGACATTCAGTTGTATTATGTCACAGAATTTCCTTACTGCTAAACAAGAACTGTACTTTAAAATAACTCATTAACTTAAACTCATTTAAAACTTCATGGCTTTGTGTTGTAGTATTTTTCTTTCCCATTGCACTCATTAGAACAGGAAAAGAATATACAATCTGTACACATAAGGATTAAAATTTATATCATTCATCTGCAAATGTTACTTTTCCTTGTGCTTAGGAATGGATTATACCAATAACTCAAAATTTTCAGTAACTCATATAATTCATATCCAACTTACTACTTTGAGTCAGTAAGTATTGTTTTCAATCTCAATGTTTTGGATTTACTTATCTAGTACATAGTTCAGATAGTCAAAAACTTAGGCAAGTTTTAAGGTGTGTTTTATAGATTTTTGAAACGACAATTTGTTTAGGTCAGAACTTCAAAGAGGTTTTTTTTTGTTTTTTTTTTTCCCCAAAAATAAAGGATGGACTTGTAGCTTTATGACATAACTTGAGTTACAAAGGATTCTCATTTCTCCCATTTTTGAATGATACAGCAGATTTATTTTTAAATGATTATGCTTTTGCCAAGTAAATATGGTATATGTTCATACAGAAACGGTAGTTTTTAGAAATTGTGCAGATTAAATTCCTTGCTACTATATTGGCTTCTTTTGATAATCAGAATAATGGAATTTGAAATTATTCCAACATATTATACATGTATTTGACAGAACTAGAAGAACAAACTCGAAAAGCTCTGGAACTGGACCAGGAACGAAAACGAGCAAAAGAAGAAGCAGAAAGGCTTGAAAAGGAGCGTCGAGCCGCTGAAGAGGCCAAGTCAGCTATCGCAAAACAAGCTGCTGACCAGATGAAGAATCAGGAGCAACTGGTAAGGAGCCTGTCTTAGTTCTCTCTCAGACAGGAAAAGTTTAGACACAAGCATGGAGTGAACGTTGAAAACTAAGTCTATTAGTTATTATTTGCTCTGGAGAGCAAACCAAAGATACAAGTAACTTAATAACAAAATGTGGAAATTAGCCTAAAGTTTTGTTTCTGCCTTAACATCAACAACAAAACCCTAAAAATAAAGCAGAATAAAAGAGAAATGGAACCTGTTGCCAATAAAAGAGTCAGGTTCACTTACACTTTGCCTAAGCATTGACGTGCTTTGCATTAGATAAATTGATACTATATTTTAACTCCTATAAAATATTTGTAGTTCCTGATTGTTGGATTTTTCTTCCTTAGTAAACTTTTAAATAATGGGTAAGCATAATCCTGGATTTAAATGTTGGTTTAGGCATTTACTGTGTGTCTTTTTGAGTCTTTCTGAACCTCAGATTCCTCCCTTTCAAAAAAGATATAATACTACCTAATAGGATTGTTGGGGAATCAAGTGAATTGCTTGATAAAATACTTTTTAAACATTATATACTTTTCTCTTTTGTAGGCTTTAGCAAATACGTTATTGATAAGAGTTAAAAAGTATCACATATTTTAAGTTACTGCTACTAGTAGAATAGTAACTACATGTCTGTGCAATAATAAAGTGTTTTCCACTTTGTCCCCTTATTAACTTATTAGTTCCTTATAACTATTACTGCTTTAAATAAGATAGTTAAGATCTTAAAGAAATACACTATCTTTTTTTAAATGGAAGAGTATCAAGTAAGAAAAATACGTAAAATAGCCCAAGCATGTACTTCAAAGCTTTGTTGACTTAATATGAAATATTGGAACTATATTAAGTTTTTTAGTATTGGCAATTGCATTTATTTTAGGCAGCAGAACTTGCTGAATTTACTGCCAAGATTGCACTTCTAGAAGAAGCAAAGAAGAAAAAGGAAGAGGAAGCTACTGAATGGCAACACAAAGTAATCACCTATCTGTTTATTCACTAGCATTTGTTGATTACCTACTTTGTTTCCAGCAGTGTGCTGAATTTATTAAAATTAATTTAAGATGCTTTCAGAGTTTCGAGGAGATAGGATACCTGTGTCCATGAATGTGTGTATTGTAATAAATACTAATCTACTCATGTAAGTATTTTTGAAACACAGGAATGGGGACTAATTTCTGAGTGGAATGAGGCAGGTATTGGTAAACCCCTTAGAAGTTTAAGCTGAGTCTTGAATAATTTATTTGGGGATAGAAAAGATAGAGACTGAAGATGTAGTCATTCCTGATAGAGGAAACTGAATGAGTGTAGGAAGTATGAGAGCACTTGACAGACTTGAGGACAACCAATAAGCAAGAAAGCTCAGTGCCTAAGTTCAGGAATTTGGGGAGATATAATTAGAAAGGTAGGAGATTTCTGGCCAGTTGCAAAATTGTAAAGAGGCTGGGCTTGCCTCCTCTGCACATAAACAACAAATAGATAACTAAGCAACTAGAGGGAAAATGATGTTAGAGAGGAAAGGGAGAAAACATAATTTCTCTTGGAACTCCACCCGGGCAGTGCGACCAGAGAGGAAAAGGCTCATGACAGTATCGGGGACTTGCCTCCCTCTTTGTTCTAACCCTATCTTATCTGCCCCCCTCCTCTGTGTTCAGCTCTATAGTCAGTTTTCCAGGGTTAGTTTTTCGACATGTCTTTATCTGACCCTTAATTTGGTTTCTGTGTATTCCACATACATAAATGACACCATCTAGTATTTGTCTTTGCCTTCTGGGACATACGTCCCTTCTAGCTCCATCCATGTTGCTGCAAATGCCATGAACTTAACTTTTTTTTTTTTTTGGATGCTGAGTAATATTCATTGTGGAATTAACAGTTCCCAAAGTAAGTCACTGATAAATTTATCTATAATGTTCAGGCTTTTGCAGCCCAGGAAGACTTGGAAAAGACCAAAGAAGAGTTAAAAACTGTGATGTCTGCTCCCCCTCCACCCCCGCCAGTCATTCCTCCAACAGAAAATGAACATGATGAACATGATGAGAATAACGCTCAGGCCAGTGCTGAATTAGCAAATGACGGTGTAATGAACCATAGAAGTGAGGAGGAACGTGTAACAGAAACACAGAAAAATGAGCGTGTTAAGAAGCAACTCCAGGTATTTATAATTTGAGGTTGTATGTGTATTTGAAATTTAGTTTGCATATTCCCTGATTATCAAGACAAATTTGCTAAGAAGGAACGCATGGTTTTTGGAAACCTTTATGCTGAGTTATAGGCTGAGGTATATAGTCACATTATTTTATTTCTTCTGTTATATGACCCCATTAGTAAATGTTTGTTAGCCTTGCGTAATCAGGCAGACCTTAACAAGTAAATTAGTATTTAATTACACCTGTGTTTAAAGGCAAATGAATTTAGTTTTTAAATAGTAAAGTATACACTTAAGGTATAATTTAATAGACTATCTGTACGACAGTATATAATTACGTTACTTGTACAGATTTTACAATTGCAATGGTCAGTTTATTTAATGTACTTAGTACTTCCACATTGGGAATTTTAATATTAGACTTTTTTCTTTAAAAGTTCTTTGATTTTTTTTTAATCAGTGAGACATTTAAATATCAATGAAAGAAATGAGGTTGTCATTATAATAATAATTATATTAAGACTTGGAGAATGTTTCCCCGATGGTTTAGATTTTATTTATTATGCTAACATTATAACATTGAATACTCTTTTATTCCGTTTTTATTGAACCTTTTGTTTTCAAGTGTTGGATGAGTAAATGAAGGAAATTTAGAATAATACAAAATCATCATAGTTGACGAGTGTAGAAATGAAAGCTCATGGGTATTCCTTATTAACTACTGCCCCCACCATTATTGAAGGTAAAATGAACTTACATACTTTAAAGAAAAAAGATTTCACAGTGGGTATTTTAATAAACGGAAAAGTCAGATTTATTGTATGTGTGCTTTTGTTTTTAAATCTTTTAAAAATAACTTTTTTAATAATACTCATAATCTTTATTTTTTTGAATAAAGGCGTTAAGTTCAGAATTGGCCCAAGCCAGAGATGAAACCAAGAAAACACAAAATGATGTTCTACATGCTGAGAATGTTAAAGCAGGCCGTGATAAGTACAAGACTCTGCGGCAGATCCGACAAGGCAATACAAAGCAGCGTATTGATGAGTTTGAAGCAATGTGAGAGCTGTTATTTTGCATACATGTTCTTCATAAGCTGAACCACCAACAGAGAAAAGCAGGCCTTTGCAGATATCATGGAATACATCCCACCTTGCCAAAGCACTTACACCAGTTTGACTGTGGTGACTAAAAGACACATTTAAGGGGAGCTCATCAACAAGGCAGTGTAATTTCATTTTTTTCTTTTGGGCCAGGGAATGTAGAGTAGTGTTCCATCTCCTCCTTCCATATATTCATTTTTTCCATTTTTTTCCTATTGAAGGTTAATGCTAATTGTCATGTCTGACAAATGTGTATGTGTGATCTAAGCATTTTGTGCAGGTAGAGCATTCTGTGTTCCCTTCCGCCTTCCATATTTTATCTGCTTGTTGTATTCTTGCTCATTGACATTTTCTCAGTTTCCCCTTCTATCATCCCCACACCCATAGCCATAATTCTGCCACAGATCATTGGCATTGTTTGAAATGAGGGTAGGTGGCAGGGTGGACAGTCTTTGACCACTGTGTAAAAGATGGCTATGCATCATGAAAAGGATTACAGCTTTTAGTAGTGTAGTGTGCAACTGGTAATTAATTTTTTAAAAACCAGTTTGATTATGTTATTGGATATTTTGTAATTGCTTACTTAATTACGTCATCTTTGACAGCTGAATTGATTCGTATTCGATCTTCCTGTCATCCTTTGATTTTCTTTGCCTGCCAATTCACAAAGGCAAAGACAGCAGGTAGTTGTTTCCTAGGGAAGAGTTTATTGATGAAACTCTACCTGCAAATGACAGTTGTCTCTGAAAGATTTGAAAAGTTTTGTTCTAGATTGACTTAGAAAAATAGATGCTCAGTAAAAGGAAATATACATTTACTGGTCACTGATTATAATCATTACAAAAATCCCTGGACCTTTCTGGAAGGACAGCGTGTGAAAACATCCGTCCCAAAGAGGGGATGGTAATACTACCTCACTACTACTACATACGCAATGACTCGTTGTTCAATCACAATGGCGTGTATAAGCTGTATGTTTTCCAGGACACAGTGTTTCCTTTCATTCTTGAAGTAGTATTTTTGAGATTTCTTTTTCCTTCAGAATATCGTAGAGTGCTAAATTTTTAACTGCCTTTTTGTTGAGCTGAATTGTGAGGCTCTGATTTGTATTACAGTTGCAAGCTCTCATTGGTATATGTCTTCCAGGGAGGGGAGGGAGTGTTGTATGTCTGAAGAGGGGAAAGAGAGAGCGAGTATGTAAGAGTGTGTGTGTGTGTGTGTGTGTGTGTGTGTGTGTGTGTGTGTGTGTGAGAGAGAGAGAGAGAGATCACTCTTGTAGCATATGAAGAATGTCTGTACCTTCATCCTTCATTTCTTGATATAATTGTTACATAATCACTTTTGCATATTTGATTTTTAAATCACTGTGCTTTTTTCCCCCAATCTCTAAGAATACTTAAATTTGGTTTGTTAATCCCATTTTAGAAATTATAATTTTAGGTTATATTGATTTCAATTATGTCTACAAAGAAATGTACCAGTCTGAATGATGTTCTAATATTCATGTTCTAGCATTTTCTTTATTGTAAAACACCTAGATTTGAAGATAAGGAAAGCCTTGTTTTCTCTGTGTGGTTCAGCTACTTTCCATTTGGTATTATGCACTCAAATTTACATTTATCTATTAAAATTGCCATTTTGTTAAACATTTTTCATGCACAGTAGATACAAGTTGTGTCTGAAAATATCTCTTGTGCTTTTTTGATTTTTGATTTTGCTGACTTAAAGGATTAATCTGGGCAGACATTATGAAAAGGAAAGGTTGCATTTAATATATTTTTTGGATTTTGTAGGACAAAAGATAACTGGTTAACCTTGAAATAACTGTTGTACAGTGGTTGTGCATATGCTTCAAAATACTAGAGGAGAATAGTTCTTGCAGCACAGTAGAGGAATAGATGGTGAACATGCTTTTAAGCATGAGTTCAACTTTTTAGAGCATTAAATCAATGGCCGTAATAGGTGAAAACTTGCACTTCCACTGGATTTTTATTAATATTCTTCATTTTGAATTATGTGCACTACCATTGCTATATCAGTTTGATATCAGTGTTGAAAAATTACCAGTTATATTTGCTGTTTATAATCTATATGTAGATTAGGATTAAAATGGATTTAATCCATTTTTAAAGCTGTGTGAATTTTTCTAAACAGAAACAACTATTTGCAATATGGATTTTCATAGTGATTAAAACAATTATTACTTTTATTATTAGCAGTTGAGCACATGTTCATATAGCAATGTAAAAATATATTAATGAATATTTGGTAAACTCCAACAGGCTTTTACCATTAGCATAATTTTGTGTTGTACAATTTAAGTTACAATCTATAATTTTGGATAACATTCATTGGTCAACAATAAAGTGACAAAAGCTCATGCCTTCAAGGTCCACTGTTGTTATTTAGTATGGATTTCTTATATATTTCCTGAAAGTTCTAATCTCTACTAGACCCATGAATCGTCACACCTTAGTAATGAAAAGTGGGTAGGAAAAATTTCAGAATCCCCAGAGATTGACCCTTTCCTCCAAATTACACCTCTTTGTTATGAAGTTATTAGTGATTGGAAATTCTGTGGAAAAGTTAAATCAACTCTTCTTGATAACAGAAAATCATTTAGGATTTCAAGTTACTGCCTTTGTGTTTAATTTTTTTCTTGAATATACAGTTTCATTGTCATTGATTAAAAGTACTGTTAATATACTAATTCTTTAAAGAACCATATACCAGTTGCATTTATTTAAATACATATTCTTATTTTAAAGTGACATTACAGAGCAGTTAACATAAATCTAGAAATTGTCTTTTTAAAAGCTTGTTCATTTTGAACACACAGGTTATTCTTAAGCAGGCTAGTGGTAAGTCTGTTCTAACAATAGGAAAAAACCCAATGTCTTTTCAATTTAGTAATACTTAACTCACTATTTTTTTCTCAAAAGGCAGGTAATGCTTCCTTAATCCTATCAGAAAAGACAGATGAATTTTATAAAATAAGGTTTTGTTCAATATTTAATACAGAGTTTTTAAGAACTAGGATTACCACATACAGAGTTAAGACTGTATGGGAATTCAGTTCTAATTATCATTAGAAAAGAGTTTCCATATTAGTATTGTGATTAAAAGAAAATGCCCACTACTTTGTTTCAGTTTTGATTACCTTGACTATACTTTCAGGGATCATTTCATAGCTTGTCATAATTTTGATTACCATGTATTGGTGAATATTTTAGAATCAAAGATGATAAAAACTTCTTAGATCCCAAAGCTTCCCATTCATGATAAAAAAAAAAAAGCCTTCCTAAAATCTGAAGCTTAAAATTGAAGTATAATGAATTACTGCCTTTAACATTAATTTACTAGGCTGATTAGTAAGTTAAGACTTACTTGTCTTTAATAAGAATTAGTGAACTGAGGAACTACACTGGTAAAAATTTCTCTATATTCTGAATGAACAGAATTTAAGCTTTATATCATTTTTAAACTGGAAGATAATCGTGCAAATATTATGTGGTTTTATATAGAATGAAAGTATTCTATTATTTTACAAATAAAAGATTCCTGCAGATGTTTTCATAACTTATAAAATGTTGAGGCAGCCTGATTTCTCATTCTATGCTGGAAAAGAGGAAAAATTGGCTCACAATAGTGTCTCATGTCAAAGCCTATCACATTCCTATCTTTGTTAGCCAATTTAATAATTATAACTCCCATTTCATCCTAATGGACCCACGTCTTAATACATCCATCTTCAAGATTTTAATAGCTACTATTTCCCCACTGGAGAGAGCGTAACTTTCCACTTTGTAGTCTTAATATTTTTGACCTCTCTTAAACTCTGATAAATGAGTTTTCTGATTTGTGATTACATATACACTACCCTAGGAGTTCAAGTATTTATCAATTATTTATCACAGAATTTTAAGGTTAAAAATCATGACACAGATGATGATTCATGACACTTCATTTTGATTCAGGTTATTTATTATTTGCTCTGAAATTCCCTAGCATTATAGTTCCAGGTTCTTAATGACCTTCATTCAGGCAGTATGTTTTTTAAGTGCCTGCTGTATTCTTGGGTATAGTGGCAAGATTGACTATCTTAAAAAGCAGAACTTCAAATATTAACTGATCTTAACCTGAGATTATTTCCATGAATCTGTTACAATATGAGACTTATTTCTTAAGAAACAACAGCACCATTTTGTTGATTCTTGTTATTCGTATGCCCAGATTCCTCCATGCTTATATATCGTCAGTTGCTTCCATCCATGTGATTTAATTTTTATTACTGTTTCAATTGTTCACTTTGATTTAATGGTCATCTAAAATATGTAGATTAATTTTGATATTTATGCATGTCATTTATTTCACTCCTGAAAATAGTGATAGTGGTTTTAGCTTACCTTTACTAATTGGGTCTATACAGGCAAGTGTCCATTTTCTTGGTGTTATGGGGTCAGATCTCTGAGTTTATGTGATGATCCTTGGAAAGTTCCTTTTGGCAAAATGGATTTATTATATGAAATTCTTCCTGCACTATATTATAATGTGTGCCATGAAATCCCTTTTACTTTTTTGCAACTTAAGATGTTTTCTATTTTAAACCTAGAAATGCATGTGTATCTTCCACTTTCAAGGTAATACCTCCTCCCTCCCTTTCCTTTTGTTTATACTGAAAGTATGTGTAATTTAAGTCTAGCATTGGAATCCTGTATGCAATCATTCCATCTATATACATATAAATTTTTGCCATTTTGAGTAAAAGATACAGTTTGTCATGTACAAAACTACTATAAAGAAGATGAGTAGAAGAAAATTAATGACCGATAGAATACACAGTAGTTTTTCAAGTATACTTATTTGCTGGTATATTAATTTTTATCTCATAGGTCAAATTTTAAACACTGGTTAATATTTTTAAATAGCCTAAAAAATAAAGTGCTTAATTTTAAAAAAGTTGTCCTAACTTTATAGGAGGAAACATTTTCCACCCAACTGACAAACAGGTCAAGTATAGCAATTGGTCATATCTGTATTAAACATTGAAAAGTTTAATGGAATTAGGAGTTTTCAGTTGAATATTTTCATGTTAAAATGTAGGCAAGAGTGACCATTTTAACCATTTACAACAGCTGTCACTGCTGTCCACCTCCAGAACTTTGCCATTCCAAACAGAATGTCTGTGCCCATTCACCCCTCTTCCCAGCCCCTGGGAACCACTGTCCTGTCTTGTGAATTTGACTAGGCTAGGTAAATGGAGGTAAATGGGCTCCTTTTGTCCTTTTATCTGATTTGTTTCCCTTAGCAGAATGTTTTCAAGGTTCATTCATCTTACAGCATGTATAAGAGCTTTTATTCTTTTTTAAGTCTAAATATTCCATTGCACATACATGCCACATTTTGTTTAGACATTTTTTAGTCAATGGACATTTGAATTGTTTCCACGTTTTGACTGTTTTGAACAGTGCTACTCTATATATGGTGAACAAATTACTTAAGTCCCTGCCAATTTTTTGGAGGATGGGTGCATGTCCAAAATTGGAATTGTTGAATTGTGTAATTCTGCCTTTAATTTTTTGAGGAACTGCCAAGTGATCTTCCTTTATTCCCACCAGCAATGCAGAGGGTTCCAGTTTCTTCACATTCTCACCAAGAGTTGGTTTTTTGTTTGTTTTCACTAGTCCATCCTAATGGGTGAAATGACAACTGACTGGTTTTGGTTTTCATATCCCTATGATGTATTTCTTATTTCTCTATGATTATGAACATCTTTTTGTTTTTATTGACCATTTATACATCTTCTTTGCTGAATTGTTTTTATTAATGCTTTGTCCCTTTTTTGAGTTGTTTTCTGTTGAGTTACGAGAGCTCTTTATATGTTTTGGGTATTAATCCCTTATCAGATAAACATGTTACTGGTAATTCACCCATTCTGTGAGTTGTCTTTGCACTCTGTTGGTAGTGTCCTTTGGTCCTTGAAAGCTCTTAATCTTGATGACATCCACTTTATGTTTCTTTTCATTGCGTATGCTTTTTAGTCTTCCTGTGTTTTAAAGGAAAAAAAAATTTTGCTGGGGAAAAAAAGGTATTACTAAAAAGGTAATACAGAAGAGGTATTATGTACAGTGGCTGTGGCTGGAGTCTAGAGAGATGCGAGGCTCGCTGTGTAGACTTGAGTGGAAGCATTCACCAAGCGCTGACTTGGGAAGGAAGAGCTTTGAGGCCTGTGCTGAGGTGCTCTCACTTGTGAAGCCATCTAGTGCCTTTGGGAGTACAGTGACAGAATGGAGCAATAACTTAACTTTGCGCCAACTCATGCTGCTATGTAAAGTATAGTAGCACGTGCAGAGGATAATGAAAGTTTAATAGAGAAACTGCAGACTGTAAATGGCCTTAAGAAGGGCCATTAGAATCACTGCCTTCTGAGAATTTAAAGGAAATACGTAGAGGCAATTTGCTCTCATGTTTGCTGTAAGTAGTAATGTTTTTTCTTCTGCTTGTTTCTCTTTTGGGGCAGTTAGGACCTCCTTTTTATTTTATTCTTGATCTTCTGGGGATGGATTCGAGAACTAAAACACAAAAAGAATTAGAAATGAAAGACATCCAAGAATAAATGGATTTGATTCTGAGTTCTAATTCCAGGTCCTACATACTTTCTATACAGGTTTTATACTCCTGTACTCTTGATATTGTAAATAACTTCTTAACTTTCAATCACAGTGTTTTAGAGTATTTTTCTGGACATTTAGATTCCAGATGCATTGTCTTCCCAAAATGTAACTCCTGAGCAAGATTAATATCCAGGTACTTTTGAGTTATGAGTTATTACTTAGAATTAATAAGCTATTACTTCAGAGTATGCTTAGAAGGACAGTTTATCAGTTGCCTTTCTGCTTGAAGCCGATACTAATAATGTAGTGACTGGAAGAAACCTTGGGCTTTTTACAAACAGGTTTTAATGAGTTAGGAAAAATAAGTGCTTTCAGATCATTGTGAAGGGATTATTGTCACCAGAACAAAATTCAATGAAGATTATCTCTGTGTATACCCAATTATTTACTGGCTTTTAATGACTTTATTTGGAAATGTCTGTAGGATTTTTAAAATTGAGAATCCTATTTGATTATGCTAATCAGTTAGCTTTTGTTAGAGGTATGATTTGATTCATCTGTTTATGCCCAAGTGATATATTAGGGCTTCTTATTTTTGCTTATTTTCCCCAGATAATTCCCAATACAATATACTTAAAAATTTTTAGGCCATAAGCTTTTAAAATATTTAAAGACTTTTAATTTAAATGATCTTTTGGTAATCTAAGTTACAATTGGATTTTTTTTCTTCACTAACTTTAAAATATAATGGTGTACCTTTGGTATGTAAATTAAATGTAGAAGTTTGCAGTTTTGGAATTTGTGTGTTTTAAAAGTGTTTTTTAATCAAAAGACTAAAACCTTTCACTCTATGCAAAAGAAAATCATAATCCATGGCCTGTTTACTTTTTAATTATTTCATTGATATTGCAAATATATTATTAATAGTAACTCATTTTAATACCTTAGAACCTTTATGTTAATTAAACTACCATCTTTTCCAAGAAATATTTACTGTCTTATATAAGTA